AAAAAAAAAAAAAAAAAAAAAAAAAAAAAAAAAAAAAAAAAAAAAAAAAAAAAAAAAAAAAGAAGATTGCGTGTCAGAGGCTTATTGTACGATAGATATAATGGTGTTAGAGAGCATCCCAATAGATGATTCAGACATGAAGGAGGCATCAGTACCTATTGGAGCTTTGCGATTTGCCTGTATGGACCACTTGTCAAAACTTCCGTCCTTCTCATCCTACTACTCCTGCACTTTGTTTGAACACCAGGGCAAGGAAGACCATTAGGACGACGACGAGTGTTGAGAGGAGGAGGAGGGCATCGAGAAGGATGCAGTGGAGATGGAAAGCAAGAGGAGGAAGAGGACCAAACAAGCAAGCCGGAGGAGAAATGCTAGACGGAGGAGGAGGAGGAGGAGGAGGAGGAGGAGGAATGGTGGGCAAGGAGAGAAAAGTGAGGCACTTCCTAAAGCCGTGCCCGTAGTCAAGCCGTGACTTTAGCCGCGACTTTAGGAAATGTACAAGCCACTACAGGAGTGCCCAAATTCATCGGAGTAGAAATGCTTATACTCTATTTTTTCCCCGCGGCCTATAGCTGGGCCAGTAGCAAAAGGGCAGAGACAATGCAGACGTGGAACAACAGGGACCCAGTAGCAGAAGGGCAGAGATTCAAAATTTGAATTCATGTGTCTAAGACCTGCCTGAGTGGCAGGGGGTATCAGGGGCCTAAGTTTTGCCGGATTAGCGAGGGTAATCCCACGAAGACGCCAGCCCAGTACGGGGCCACAATGCGCAATGCATGTTGTCGGCCCGGGGCCTAAGTGTTGCCGGACTGGCGAGGGCAATCCCACGAAGACGCCAGCCCAGTACGGGGGCACAATGCGCAATGCATGTTGTGGGCCCGGGGCCTAAGTGTTGCCGGATTGGCGAGGGCAATCCCACAAAGACGCCAGCCCCGGAGGGGGCCGCACAATGCGCAATGCATGTTGTGGGCCCGGGGCCTAAGTGTTGCCGGATTGGCGAGGGCAATCCCA